CCTAAGAGAAATGTTGAGTTATACTGTGATTACTGTAAAATGAAGGGTCATACGAGGGGAAGTTGCTACAAATTGATTAGGTACCCATCTGGATTCAAGTTCAACAACAGGAGAAGAGGACCATATGAACAATCAACAGCTGTAGCACATAATGTGACTGTTGGAGAGGAAGTCAACACTAGACTGCATAGGAATGCTGTTCCAACTGTTCAGCCTTTCACTGCTGAACAATATCAACAAATTCTCAACTTGCTGAATAAAGAGAAGGGTCCTGAAGCCTCAGCCAACATGGTAGGTAACTCTACCACTAACCAAGGTCCTTGGATTATAGATACTGGGGCTTCTAATCACATAGTTTCTGCCTTACATCTACTATCATCAGTATACCCTGTACCCGAACATAAATCACCTACTATACATTTACCAAATCGAAATAGTACTAAAGTTACTCATACTGGACCATGTACCTTGCTTAACTCAGAAATCCTTTATGATGTTCTTTATGTTCCTGAATTCTAATTTAATCTACTCTCTGTTTCTAGATATACAAAAGAGTTAAATAGCTCAGTTCATTTCTATCCTGATTTTTGTGTCTTCAGGACCTCTTCAGTGGCATGGTGAAGGGGATTGGTAAACTCAAGGGTGGCCTCTACATCCTCAATCCCTCAACACATGTTACTACTTCTGCCTCTAATTGTGTGTCTGCTTCAATTCAGTCAAATTCAAGTGCATTGTGGCACCAAAGATTGGGTCATGCACCCCTTGCAGTATTGAAAAAGATCCCTGATCTAAATAAACAATTATCATGTATTTCTACTTGTCACTATCCAGTATGTCCACTAGCTAAACAAACTAGGCTACCTTTCCTCGTTAGTACTTCCAAGTCTAATTGTATCTTTCAACATGTACATATGGATGTGTGGGGTCCATATAGAGTCTGTACTTACAATGGATTCAAATATTTTCTTACTCTTGTTGATGACTATTCAAGAATGACTTGGATTTTTCTTTTGAAATTGAAAAGTGATGTGTATGTCATTTTTTACTGAATTTCTACATCTTGTTGAAAATCAGTTCTCAACCACTGTTAAAGCCTTTAGATCAGATAATGGCCATGAATTCTTTAACACCCTCTGCTCTAATCTTTTCAAAACCAAGGGGATCATTCACCAAAGTAGTTGTGTTCACACTCCACAACAAAATGGTGTTGTGGAGAGGAAGCACAGACATATCCTAGAAGTAGGAATGGCCTTGAGGTTTATGCTAACATACCCTTAAAGTTCTGGGGGGATTGCAGTCTCACTGCTACCTATATCATTAATAGACTACCAAGTGTTATTCTACATGGAAAATCACCTTATGAGATTTTTCATGGTAAACCTCCTATTTTTTCCCACATCAGAACTTTAGGATGCCTATGTTATGCTACAAAACCAAATTTTCATGACAAATTCACTCCTAAATCAGTCCCTGGTGTCTTTATGAGCTATGCTATTGCTCAAAAGGGATATAGAATATATGAAATTGAAGCCAATAAATTCATAGTTAGCAGGGATATTGTATTTCATGAACATCTATATCCCTTCAAACATCCCAGGAGCAAAATTTCTTGCTACTTCTGATCCATCTTCTATTTCCTCTCCTCTCTTTCCCAATTTTGATTCTCTGCCACCTCACACACCTGACCACAATTCTTTTTCCAATGATATTATTTCTCTTTCTAATGGTCCTACTCAGTCCAGTAGTTCACCTATTTCTTCTCCTGATCCTACTACTTCTCTTCCCTCTGATGGTTTACCTGATCTTCTAATCCTCCTCTTAATCCTCCTATTGATCCTCCTACTGATTCCTTGTTTCCCAGAAAATCTAGCAGAATACTTAAACCATCTATTTGGCTGACTGATTACATTCACCCTCCTTTACCTTCAGCCTCTAATGCATGTCTTTACCTTATTAATCACTTTGCTTCTTACTATCATCTCGCTGCTCATTTCCAGTCTTTTCTTGCTTTTTTCTCAGCTAATATTGAACCTACTTCTTACTCACAAGCCATTAAAGATGATAGATGGATTAAGGCTATGAACCTTGAGATTGAAGCCTTAGAACAAAATCATACTTGGGAAGTGGTGACTTACTATCTAGTAAAGTACCCATAGGTTGTAAATGGGTCTACAAAATCAAGTATAATGTTGATGGTTCTGTAGAGAGATTAAAAGCTAGATTGGTTGCTAAGGGTTACACCTAACAAGAAGGCATTGACTTTCATGATACATTTTCCCTTGTGACCAAGATGACCTTAATAAGGACTGTTATAGCTATTACTTCCCTTTGACATTGGCCTGTGTACCAAATGGATGTGCATAATGCTTTTCTCAATGGAGATCTTGCTGAGGAAGTTTATATAACTCTTCCTAAGGGATTTGGTAGTCAGGGGGAGTATAAGGTGTGCAGACTACTCAAATCCTTATATGGCTTGAAACAAGCCTCTAGACAATGGAATGTGAAGCTGACACAGGCCTTACTATCTTCTGGTTTTCAGCAAAGCAGACATGATTATTCCTTGTTTACGAAGACCACTAATAACAAGTTTGTGCTTATCCTTGTATATGTAGATGACTGGCTTGTCACAGGTAATGACTTGGAAGAAATACACCAAGCTAAAAGTGCCCTTCATAAAAGTTTCAAATTGAAGGACCGTGGAGAGCTTAGATACTTTCTGGGAATGGAGTTTGCCAGGTCTGAAGAAGGCATTCTAATGTCTCAAAGGAAATATGCTCTAGAGATGATATCAGAAGCAGGACTATCAGGAGCAAAGCCTAAAAACACACCTATGGAACAAAATCTGAAGCTAACAAGTACAGAATATGATGAATGTGTGCAGAAAACTGGTGCAGATGAACCATTGCAGGACAGAAACAGCTTCCAGAGACTCATTGGCAAGCTGTTGTACTTGACCATCACTAGGCCAGATATTGCATATGCAGTACAATGTCTAAGCCAATTCATGCATGCACTAAAGGCATCTCACTATGAAGTTGCTCTGCACATAGTGAGGTACATTAAGAAACAACCAGGTCTTGGTCTACTAATGTCAAGCAGAGGTGAAGAGAAGATAGAGGCATTCTGTGACTCTGATTGAGCCTCTTGTCCCATGTCCAGGAAGTCAATTACAGGTTTCTATGTCAAGCTGGGAACCTTACTGATCTCATGGAAGGCAAAGAAACAAAGCACCATATCCAGGAGTTCAGCTGAAGCAGAGTATAGAAGCATGGATCACACTGTAGCTGAGCTAACATGGTTGAACGGGCTGTTGAAAGAACTGGGAGTTAGTGTCAAACTGCCTATGGACTTATATTGTGACAGCAAAGCTGCTTTATAGATTGCTACAAATCCCATATATCATGAGAGAACAAAACACATTGACATTGACTGTCATTTCATCAGAGAGAAGATACAAGAAGGGTTGATAAGGACTGCACATATAGCTACTCAAGAACAACCAGCTGATATTTTGACAAGGCATTGGGGCATCGTCAACATGCAGTTTTAGTTTCCGAGTTGGGAATGAAAAGCATTTTCCATTCTCAACTTGAGGGGGAGTGTAGAGATTAGTGTTTGTACAGTGAGCTATTTAAGATGTACACTTCTAGAAGTAGTTAGAGTTGTTAATTAGCACATGTGTATAGAGTTAGTTAGTTAGTTAGTTAGTTGAGTGCATTTGTATATATGCACAATTACTGTTCATACGTTCATTACACTGAATAAGAATCTTACAATTTTTTCTCTCTCTAGAACCTTCTTCTTCTTCTTCGCTAGCAGCTCAAAGCTCTCTAATGGCTTCCCTAGGGCTAACTTTCACATCAACTTTGTTTCCTTTTTACCATTGGTTCAACAAAAGACTCATTCCAATGAAACTTGATTCCTCCTAACCATATAGCTCACAAGAGTACTTATCCATGTCTAAGTGTCAGGCTCAACCTAACCATCCATATTATTGACAATATTTTTTATGATCATTGTAGTAGCACATAAGACGATGCAATGCCAGTAAAATTGCAACATTTGACGATGTCCCTCAAGATTGAGCTGGTGTGCACAACTCCTTGGGGATATTATTGAAATTTGCAGTACAATATTTAGACTTGTATTCGTTCTATTTAGAACCTTGTCGCCCTAATAAAACAAAAAGTCAAGAGAATAAGCATTGAATAGCAGGTAAAAGAAATTAAGGAATCCAAGGTTTTTAAAATGGACACGCTAAGTAATTTGAAGTAAACAAGTAAATCACTCACAGAAATCACTTTTCCTCCCCTGTCCCATTGATTAACACGTCCAAGGGATCACTGAGTTCTCCTTTCCAAATCCTAGCAACCCAATAACAGATTTTATGCTATGAATTAAATGTTTCTTTAACCTACATTATCCATATATTTGACGTTTCACTTGTTCTCATCTTACACCCTACTCGCAAAGCATAGGGGCTGGTTTCTCCTGGAAGTGGTAAACGGGTGGGTTGAGTCAAATCTTCAAAACGGGTCAAATTAATAAACAGTCATGACTCAACCAGCTCAAAATTTGCTTGTATTAAGATGATCGAATGACGGGTAATAATCAACTTGCCCAATATCTCTTCCTTTTTTATTTTACTTTTTTTTTTTTAAATGTGAAAATATATTTTTCTTTACACAATCCCCAATCTCCACATTTGATTTTATGCATTTGGGTTTTGGTTGCATTTTGACCCATCGAATGATCCGTTCGACCTGATAATTGGTGAGTTGTTTCGGGCTCAACTTATTGGCAAGTTAACAAAAGAATTATGAGGAATTTTCACAAAACACTACAGTTTAGAGCCTAATTGCCATACATAACTTTACTTTGCCTAGTTACCATTCCTCGCTACCGTTCAATTGTTACCGGCTTGCATCACATGTATTCAGACGCACAACGAATATAGCATGTGTGTTCGCGCAACGAATAACCTATATCAATTGTATTTGTTTGCGCAATTGTATTCGTTCGCGCAACGAATACAACATGTATCAACTGTATTCGTTCGCTTAACGAATACAACCAAGGCAAAATACATGAGTGTATACACTACAGTGTATCGACTGTATTCGTTCGTGCAATGAATATAACCAAAGCGAAATAATACAGAAAAATAACATGCTCTCGTTGAGAGTGGAACTCAAACCTCCACTTACTAAGAGGGTGGTTTAACCAACAGAGCTATTGTTTCAGTTCAAAACAATTGATCTCTTATTTCAGTACTGCATGTGAATTATCTATAAATTCAATTATAGCTATGAATAATAATTTTCTGAAAGTATAGCTACAGTGTATATGTTTGTTGTGTCGCTTAATTTTTCCAAGAATTATAGACTAACATGTTTAAACTTGAACCAGCTAGGCGAGTAACTAAAAAATGGATGAATTTTGCCACCTCTAATTCTTCCTACTATACTTCAGGGGAACATGTGGAGATCATATGGTTTTTGGGTTCTTCTAACTCTACTACCAATAGCTTTGGGGTATAACCAAAGTTTTCTCAGAGATATTGGAATTATATGGTTTCTTTGTAGACTTTGTAGTGATAGATCGAGTCAAATCAAGTGAATGCATAACTTAGGCATTAAATCTGCTCCTGAATGAAGTGTGTGCAATCTCATGCCGACCTTGGAGATCAGATTCAAATTCCAACTAAGACGAAAAACGTTAGGTGAGTTTTCTTCAAATATGCCTAAGCCTTAGTGGACGAAGATATTTGATACCTATGCTAGTGAGGGATAGAAACAATCCAGTGGAATAGTTGAGCCTTTGAGGTGCAGACAAACAGACTCGAACACCAGCATTTTGTTACAAAAGGAAAAAAGAAGTTTGAGCTTTCTTTAGAATAGTCTTCTATTGATAGTATAATGGATGCGGTGGTTGTTCAGTTCATTCTGTAAGTCTCGAAATCCCATTCCTTTGGGTCCTCCTTCTTTGTTTTTTCCTTCAAGTTGTCAATGCTGAAATTTCCAAGTCAACAAACGTCTTAAAGGGGTTAGATGTAAATGTATGGTGAAGAAAAAGAGCAAGAAGAGAGTATGCTCAAATACAGAGATAACTGTTTACTCTCTGCTTCTTTCCTTGCATCAGTTTTAAATATCTTATATCAAATTAATATTAGTGCAAGAATTGAGAATGATGGCTGTAGCTTCTTGGTCTGCTTTATTCATTTTCTATCAGTTTCGAATCTTTAATTCTGTTCAAGCTGAGAATCAATCCCGAGATAGCTGCCCCGAGGAATTTGATTGTGGGATCCTTGGAAATGTGAGGTTTCCTTTTTCTGTATCATCAGAACCTGCTTGTGGTTTGTACACCATATATTGTGATGCTGCTCCATATCCAATAATTCGTTTGGAAGGAAATGTTTACACTGCTCTGGATCAACGGTTGTATGACAATAGTTTTCAAGTTTTTGATCTTAGGTTTTAATGACTTATTGGAAAAACACAGTTGCAATTCTTTTGATAAAAGTCTATCTTTTCCAAGTTCTCTTCCATCTCGTTTAGAACCAAGGAACGCAATCTTACCTTGTTCAGATGCAACAACAGTCTAGACATCAACAGGAGCACGAATGATCACAACTTTCACTACTATCAGAACTATACTAAATGTAGAGGCTTAAGCATTTACTACAAGTATCCGAACACATTGCGGGAAGGCGACTAGGATGCACCAGAGGGAGATATTCCTGATAACTGTTCACTGGTTCAGTTACCAATTAAATGGAGGTCACAGTTAAGTCAAAATAGTAGCTTGTTTGATCTCTTAACTGCGAATTTTACAATTCAGTGGAGCCTGTCTGATGATTGTAGTAAGTGTTATAATCAAGGAGGTCGATGTTTAACTGACAGCAACAACAATTTTCCTTGTTACTCCAATCCCAAAGGTAAAAAATTTTACTTCTAAAGTGAAGTCTATTTTCTTGACCGTTCTTTCTTACATTGCAAGACGTTTGAGATATATGTTCTTGTCATCACTCACTCATGGGTCCAGTATGCCAGTTATATTCTGTCATATTTTGCTGCTGAGTACAATTCTAGTTAGAAAGTGCATAACCATAACTGATTCATCAAAATTTTCAGACATAATAATTGCTTCTCACGTTGGAATTCAAAACCTGCATTTTGAATTTCTCCCTTTTCTGGTGCCCTATTGCCTTCCAATTTGTCATTGAGTTTTAACTTTTAACTGTAATGATTGGCTTCATTCTTGCAATTTGCATGGTTGGTTTTGGCACCAGTCGTCTTAAAAGAGTAAAGAACTTGTGAAGACATGATAAATGAAAGAACAACAGTAACTACCTAGCCACAAATATATGTCAAATACTCTGCTTGTTTCCGCGTGTTACCGCGGACATGGTATTTAAAAGGTTTAATTTCTATTCTGAAAAGAGCTTATATGTTATTAGTTCATTTAAAAGATAACTACAGTTAACTGTGCATAATTAGTGAAATAAATGACCTAAAAACAAAGCAAATGACATGATACAGCAAGTTAAAATACACCGATAGCGTTTTACTCTGTTAAATTCTTGTAATATATGTCCGCAGGATTTTCCGCTGTAGCTCTTTCATTTTCCAATTGTTCATTTTTGCTCATCAAGTGATCTTTCTGTTCGCTCGGAGCAGATACAAATTAGTTGTAGAAGGCACCTATATAATCATCAATTTTTACTACTCCATCACCAAGTTAACAATCTAACCGATGTCTCTGTCCCGCAGAATGTTTCAGTTATCCTCTTTTACTCTTGTTATGCGCTATTTAATATTGCAGCATAAGATAGCACAAGTTACTTCACTTTTTCTTCCTCTCCTCCTCGCGCAACATATATCTAACCGTTCGTGATTTTCTTTGGCTGCAGTATTTAAAACGAATTCTAGCTGCAGGTAAATCTATTGATACAAATTTTTATTTCACATCACTAGATGTTCTCATCTTGAGCCGAGGTTCTATAGGAAGCAACCTCTCTACCTCCACAAGGTAGGGGTAACTGGTAAGGTCTGCGTACACATTGCCCTCCTCGAACCCCACTCTCTGGGAATATACTGCGTATGTTGTTGTATCACTAGATATTCTTGTTATGACTGGAAAAAGTCAGGTGTCATGCAGAAGCTAGCAAAGCAAACGTTCAACGACGATAAATCACACAACAAAGAGAAATCTACCAAAAGAGACACAAACATTTTAACGTGGTTCGGTCAACTGACCTACGTCCACGGCGGAGATGAGCAATCCACTATAATAAAAAGAGAGCACAAAATATCGAGTGAACAACCTCACGAAGAGGCAAACACAAGTGACACACTAACACTTGTCCCGTAAAGTTCTCCCCCTAAACAAAACTCTCAAGCCCCCTATGGCTACATTGTGGATGCTACTGAATGTGAAGGAAGGATCCTCAATTTATAGAAGTCCAAACCTTTTCTTACAAGAAAAAGGACTAGCCAAATATTGGATATTTATAATTTCCTTTTACAAAAAGGAAAACTCAATTAAGGTAATTATATCGCCCTTTTCCTTCAAGAGATAGGAAAACCAAATATGGTAAGAAAATTATGGCAAACACCTAACAATTCTCACTATACTTACATGTTAACTTCTTCAAATCCATAGGCTCCTTTATTTTACTATGCCTAACAATTGCGAGAAGTCATCAAACTCTTTCCAGTTTTTACATAGCCATTAGTCAAGATCTGATCTATTTGCTCTGGTGTTTTCTTCCTTGTTACCTGCAGTTATTGGTCTGATCTTTTTGAGTTAGCTCACTCTTTACAGTTGGCTAGTCAAGTGATGAAATGTCAGTGCTTTGTTCGTAGCAAAATATAAATAGTCTCAAGTCCTAATGTGTTACTGGTGCATTAAAACACGCACACACAGACAAAGAGTACTGATAGATCTGTGCTAAATATTTTCTAATTTACCAAAGATGCAAATTGGTAACAATCTTTCGATTGGTGTCTTGACAGCCACAGCTTCTTCTATTGGTGGACTCGCGATTCTGGTTATCCTACTCCTGTACTTAAGAACAAAATGCTCCCTTAACTCCATGACTTTCTTGAAGAAAAAAGGAGAGGATTACAGAAATGTAAAGGACTTCCTTAAGAACTGTGGATCACTCGCTCCAAGAAACTACAGTTATGCTGAAGTCAAAAAAATGACCGGGTATTTCAAAGATAAACTTGGCCAAGGAGGCTATGGTTGTGTGTACAAGGGAAAGTTGCATAACGGCAGTCTTGTGGCAGTCAAGGTTTTGAAGGAATCGAAGGGCGGGGGAGAAGAGTTTATCAACGAGGTGGCAAGTATCAGCAGGACTTCTCACATTAATATTGTATCACTTGTGGGATTTTGTTGTGAGGGTCAAAACAGAGCTCTAATCTATGATTTCATGCTCAATGGATCCCTTGAGAAGTTCATTTACGACGCAAAATCAGGGACGAGTCGTCAACTAGGATGGCAAACATTATACAATATTACACTTGGTATTGCTAGAGGATTGGAGTATTTGCATCTCGGTTGCAATACTCGAATCCTGCACTTCGATATAAAGCCTCACAACATTCTTCTGGATGAAAACTTCTGCCCAAAAATATCTGATTTTGGCCTTGCAAAACTATGTAACAAGAAGGAAAGCATTGTATCTTTATTGGGGGCAAGAGGAACTATTGGATACATCGCGCCAGAAATTGTGTGTAAAAACATTGGAGGAGTTTCTCACAAGTCAGATGTGTACAGCTACGGTATGATGGTCCTCGAGATGGTTGGAGGAAGGAAAAATGTTGATGTTGCTGTTGACCGTACAAGTGAAATATACTTTCCGCACTGGATTTACACACAAATTGAACAAAAGGAAGAGCTTGGATTAACTGGCATTGCGAAGGAAGAGGACAACAAACTTGCAGAAAAGATGATACCGGTAAGCCTATGGTGTATCCAAACCGATCCGGCCAGGCGACCATCGATCAGTATGGTTATAGAGATGTTACAAGGTGAACTCGGATCTTTGCAAATGCCTCCTAAGCCTTTTTTGTATTCTCCTTCAAGGTCAGACAGAAACATGCCTAATGTTGAGTTGTCCCACATCGGAGGGATTTGAGGTCCTTGGTCTCCTTATATAGCTTGGACAATCCTCACCTCATAAGCTAGCTTTTGGGGTTGAGTTAGGCCCAAGGTCCATTCTTATCACCTGCTACTACTAATATGGTTTAGGATTGGACCGGTTTATGTTTGATTATGATCTAGACTTATCAAAACTTGGCGGAAACTAAGCATGCATGATTTTGAATTATCTTGATATTAGATAGCCCTACTTTTGGTGAGTTGTATAATCATTTATTTCTGCTAATGTCTAAGATGGTTCAGGATCCTAAATAGAGGAGCTCGGGTTAGTACCTAGCCATGTGTGAACCCACTCTACTGCTCAAGTCAGTAATGTCAATGAAACTAGTTGACACAACGAAATAACAAGTAAATATACTAGTTGTGAACAACACAAAATTCATAGAGTGAATTAAGTGTCTTGTGTATCTGTTTTCCACTCTCTCATGCCACTCTCGGGTTGTGGCATGAGTTTTCAGTTTATCAGGTTAAACAGTGGATACGGTACTTATGTCTCTAAGTCGACGTTATCTAAAGACTGAACCGTAAACTTGCCAAATCTTTTTATTTTGACACCCAAACTAAGGGTAGTATCTATTGAACATCTGATCTATGAAAAAATCGAAAAATAAAAAGATAATTCTTCTCACACGTTCAAAAGTGGTGTATTACACACATTGTGCATGTCAGCAATGTTTATCTAATTGATACTGCGTATTTCTATTCAAGTGTTTAATAGGTAGTACCCTTCGTTTCGATGTGAAAATGACAAAGAAAAATTGGCAAGCTATGCCCTTCCTTTTTGGTTACATACGTGATGTCGAATTCAGACAGAAGCAGTAACCATCTTGCGTTCCTTCTCGTTACGTTAAGGCGGGTTTCTCGATGTCAAAATGACAAAGAAAAATTGGCAATTTTACAGGGTTGCCTACTCTATAGAAGAAATAGGAGATCAATATATAATATTTTTGCTCGTTGATAGATTGCTAAATGAAACTGATGAGACCATTCATAGCATAGAGGCATAGAAGACATATATCCTTTCATTTAGTGTTCATGCAGAGAGGAAATTAGTAGAAAGGGAGCCTTGGAGCAAGGTAAAATTGTCTCTGTGTGACCTATAAGTCACGAGTTCGACCCGTAGAATCAGCTATCGATGCTTGCGTCAAGGTAGGCCGCCTACATTACATACGTAAACACAGAATTATTCGTGCACCGGGTTGCCCTTTTGCAGAGAGGAAATAGTATCATGTGGTCATGCTTTTTTTGAGCTCTTGTTCCTCGAATTGGGAAGCTAGCTTTTAGGTAGACGCTCTTCCTTTTTTCGAGCTGTACAATCAAGTTGGGCTAGTTTTGATTATCAAACTGGCATTAATTACTTCAAACAAACAATAAACTAAACATGTGATGATCTTCTTACAATGATAATGATGTTTTAACTTCAATACCACACAAGAGGGGGTGATTTGTGGGGTGTCCAATTTTCGCTTAAACTGATTATAGAAGGACCTAGTTCTTCTAAGTGTTCCTTAACCTACTATTGCAGAAATAGTAAATGCGGAAAGTAAAGAACACAAGTATTTTACGTGGAAAATACCTGGCTCAAAAGGTGAAAAACTACGACCTACTTCCCAGTAGGATTTTCCCAAACTCTCCGCTAAATCACTGAGCCAAAAACTGCATTTACAAAAATATTTTTGTAAACCTAGGATAGACTCTAATCCCGTTGTGGCAAACAACCTCTAATTATTTCGATAACTTCAAGTTAACTCTAACTTGAATACTCTGAGTACCTATTACAATTGACTCTAGATAAAGCTGAAAGGTACAATATGAAAGTACAAGAGGGGGGGGTGTATTATTGTCTGTTAGAAACTTAGTCGACTAAGGGTGATTTTAGTTGACTAGATCGAGAGCAGAAGAAAAGTGACAGTAAACAACAGAGCAAAACACACAGCAATTTTATACTGGTTCGGTACCGGTGTGGTACTTACATCCAGTTTTTCTTGGATCACAAGGGTTCCTTTTAGATCTTGAAAGAAATACAACAGGGATGGTTTTGATTCGTCACCACCAACGAAATACAGTAATCAGTGAATCATAATAATGACACAACTCTCTTTTGTGTTCTAACTCTTCCTATCTTTTGAGACACTTGTAAAATTCAGAGTACAGTGTTTAGGCTAAGAAGTAGAGAGACTTAGAAGACAATGTGTGTGGTTGCGCAAGTCTTCCAATTGAACCAAGCAGCCTTCTTATAGGAGAGGAAAGTAGCCGTTGAGTCTTGACCAGAAATAGAGGCACGAGATCTTTGAAATGATTTGACCCAAGGGGCCCCTCTTCGAATTCTGCTCTTTGGGAAAGACCAGATTCGATCGTGACTTTCCTTTGTCACAGCTTTCATTTACAAGACAATCAATCCTTTGACTGAACTTTAATTGAGGAAGCTGAATATGGCAATAACTTCTTGATTAGAACTCTAATTGCCTTGATTGAGGCCGAGTAGATCAGCAAGCGTTTGGTTCCTTCTATAGCTCCATTGATTTAGGTCACACCTTTAGATAGCTTCTCATTGCTTTTCTTTCCTTTTGATGATTCCTGCGAAATGGAATAGTTAAACATTGTCATCATTGAAACCTTGGAATTTAACTTAACAATCTTCCCCTTTTGAGGATGACAATCAAGAGAGAATAAATATTAATAAAGACTCTAAGCATTAATTATGAAACTTCCCTTTTTTGACGTGATGCTTGCTTCCCTTGAGAGGCTGAATTTACCCTGAGAGGTTGCTCCCCCTGACTTGATGCTTGCTCCCCCTGAGAGGTTGAATTGCTGCTCAAACCTGTTAAATTCTCTTGCCGTATTCTCCCCCTTTGACATCAATCAAAAAAGGAAAGAAAACAACACAATCAAGAGTAATATAAGAAGTAATGTACATAATAACTAGCTAAACAGTGCAACAAACGTAATGCCTTCACCGGAGGCATAGGTTATACAGACCCAGGCAAAAGAAAGTTCATAAAAACCACCAGCAAGCAAGCAAAAAAAATATTTTTGAACCCATCACACGAGTACACATTAGTTTCTTCCCAGGAAGTATTTGAGGGTGTTGATCACATTGGTGCAGAAGGAGTCATAGGAATTCTCGACATCTTTGACTAGCTTATCCATTTTTTCAGTCATAGAATTGAAGGCCTTGGTTCCTTTTCTCCGTGTAGCTCCTATATCCATTCTGAGCTTAGCCACATCTGTACTTGTCTCCTTAGTGACTTCCCTGATTTTCTCCACCTGTTCCTTCATCTCAACCACAAGCTGTTTCACCTCATCCAAATATTTCTGCATTGGCTGAAGATTTTGAGAGGCAGTCGACTGAGATGCTGGTTGTTCGGTTTGAACTTCAACTGGCACTGGAATACTGTCAACTTTGGCGCGTTTAACCCATCCATCATCACCCAAGGTGCACCCCATCATTGAAAAAGTTGTTTTATCATAAGTACCGGTAATGTGCTTGGGTGTAAAGGGTGGAAAATCAACCTTCATAACTTCGAGGATGTGTGAGATGAGCAGACCATATTATAAACAAGCAGCAGAGGAAGATATGTCCCTAATACTTTCAAGCATGTATTGGCGAATCCACACAAACCAATCCAGTCTTTTATTATTAACAAGACAGTAAAGGACAAACACATCCCTAGTGGATAAAGAACTAAGGGACCCAGTTCTGGGAAGTAGAGTGGTAGCAATCATGTGGGCCAAGACACGATGTTCAAACTTTAGGTTCTTGGGGCCAATATCAGGGGGGTTATCAGATAAAAAGACTTTGGCTTCTTCAAAGGATACTTCAGAATCTTTTGGCGAGGAATTTGGCACAAAAACATCAAACCCACTAAACTTAGAAGAAAAAAAATTGAAATTGATAAGAGTCTAGAACAATTCTAGTGCCTAACACCATAGATTCCAGGTCATCTTTGTCATTCACAAAAAGATTTGCATAAAACATCCTCACAGGTTCCTCATAAACAGAGTTCCCAATAGTGTTGAACAGAGAAGAAAGATGTGGAAAATCAAATATAGAGGTTACATCACAGTGCAAATTATTCATGAGAGAAAGACTTACAAAGCGTCCATAAGCCATAGATTTTGACTTGTAGGACTCAAACCTTGCTTTTTCACTTGGTCCATAAAAGATCAACTTGTCCTCAGGTCCGAATTCAGTATTTTCAACCTTTCCTTTCTTGCATGCAACCTTTTTGGGAGTTTGCATCATGGGCCTTTTTCCTGCCTTTTTGTGGCTGATGGGAGGATTTTGGAGGATTCACTACTCTCATTGTCAGTCTTGAGAAAATCTGAGTCAATAGATGACTCCAAATCTACAGGTTCTTCAGGATTTAGGGGTTTCTGAAACCTTCGGCTTCGTCTGGTTGCAGTGGAGGAAGAGGGATTTCTTTTGGCCATGGTGAGAGGGTTTGTTTGACAGGAATGAAGAGAGTAATGGAGATGAGAAGGTTTTTATCGAAGCTTTTTGGTGTAATGAAGGGTCGCCTTGGTTAAAGGAAAAGGCGAATTCAGAAGGAAGTGATGCTTCTTAAGTGACTGATCGGCGGCACTGATGAAGAAGAAATTATTACACCTATACAAAAATTAATTAAACCACACATACTTAAGGAAATAAAATATTTTAAAATAAGGCAAAAAGATTTGATTTACAAATTTGGCAAAATGCCAATCTTTTTACTGAGAAAACAAAATCTTTCTTCCAAAAGAGATTTTGTAAAAATATCAGCAAATTGAGAATTAGTACTAATAAATTCTAATACAATATCACCTTTAGCGATATGATCACGGATAAAATGATGCTTAATTTTTATATGTTTTGCTCTAGAATGATGCACAGAATTCTTTGATAAGCAAATAGCACTGGTATTATCACAAAATAGGAGTAGAAGTAAGAGATAAATCATAGTCGAGAAGTTGATGCATAATCCATAGAACTTGTGTACAACAGTTTCCGACTACTAAGTATTCTGCCTCAGCCGTTGATAGAGCAACACAATTTTGTTTCTTGCTATGCCAAGATACCAGTGCATTTCCCAAGAGTTGACACGTCCCACTAGTGCTTTTCTATCAATCTTGTCACCTACAAAATCTGCATCTGAAAAACCTTTCAATGCAAAATTGTTAGAATGATCATATCATAATTCTAGATCAGAAGTACCAATTA